ATATATATATATATAAGTGATATGACTAGAAATAAATTGCATATTTTCAAACATATAGCACAGGTATGTCTAAGAAAAAACTACTTGTGCTTATATTAATAGGATAGAGAGAGAGAGAGAGAGAGAGAGAGAGAGAGAGAGAGAGAGAGAGAACTAATAAATAAATTGTATTCAAAATATTTAAAATCCTAAATACCATTACATTATATTTATTATATCATAAGTAATATAAGTTTTTTTTAAAAAAAATATGCTATAGTAGTATACAGTATATATATATATAGTACAGTAACACATAAATAAATATTTCAATACATACATACATACAATTCATAAAATAAATATAATGTAATTAATCAGGTTTTTTCTATTTCAATGAGTTTCAAACATCCCATTTGACTGATTTATCAATGGTGTGTATGTGTGTATGTGTGTGTGTGTATGTGTTTGAGCCCATCAAACATCAAACACCGGCACCTGTAGCCAAAATAAGTGGCATTCATACTGATAGATAGTATGTGTTAGGGGACAGACATCGTAACCTTAATCTTGAATAGTATTTAATATTATTTTATATAATCAATATATATATATATATATTATTTTTTTGGTAACATTACTGTACTGTTTATTATTTTGCATAATAGTAAGCACTTATTATTATTATTATTTTAAATACAAAGACATTTCAATGGTATCACCAGAAAAAAATAATAAATTTAATTTAATTAAATTTTATATTATTATTATTATTGTTTTTCGTATGTTTAATGATTTATAGTATAAAAAATAAATATTTTTTATGTCCGATTAAAATCTCCGATGATGTAAAATGGCAATTATATACAGTATATATATATATATTAAATTTTTTAATAACATTTAGTAAATATCACATTTAATATTATAAATTATTATTATATTAAAACACATAATTTGATGAACAAAACAAAAAAAATTGTTTCAATTCCCCCCAAAAGCGTTATATAATTTTTAATATTAATATATTAATAAACATAATACTCGTATAATAATAATAATAATAAGCAAATAAATTATGGTTAGTAGCAGTAACAGTGGTAGTAAAATATAATAATATTATATAAATTTTTAATAAATAATTTTTGTTGGTTGTATTTTATATTATATTATATAATTTATAATATATTATGTGATATGCGATATGTCATAGCCTTAAGTTAATTTACTGTACAATATATATATATATATATCATATAATTTATATATATATATAGTGTAAATGGTAAGCATATTAAACATTAAACAACAAAATAAAATTATAATTTTAATGCTATCAATATATCAAATACTAATCTTTTTTAAATCAAATTTTTTGTTTTCAATGATTTAATAATAATAATAATTTAATTAATTGCAATATATATAGAAATCACTCAAACAAAAATTTTATTTTTATAAACCCATTAGACATACATATTTTTTTACTTAAATACTTAAATACAATTTTTGTTTTGTTTTGTATTATTATGTTTTTATAACTATCAAATTAATTACAGTATATGATATATCGACACTTAAACATATTAAAGTTCATATATATAGTATTAATAATAATATTCAAAAAAAACTTGAAAAGTTTTGTTTTCTGAAATCTATACGAGCCTTTTTTGTGTGTGTGTGTGTGTGTGTGTGTGTGTAGCAATTTTTTTGCGAATTTTGAAATTCTGACTTCAGATTCGGTTAGAGGACTACTAATAATGTATTGAAAAGTTGCATTAAAATTTTGATATCTCTTCGGGATCATATAGAAAATGGCGGCCAAAGTAAAGAAAATTTTAAGAAAAAATATTTTAAGTATAAATTTGAATAGAGCATCAAAAGCAAGCATAAAAATATGCATTAAAATTTTGATATCTCTTCAGGAACATAGAGAAAATGGCGGCCAAAATAAAAAAAAAATTTAGGTAAAAATTTTAACGTTTAGAATTGTATAGAGCATCAAAAATAAGATATAATAAATTAAAATTATTTTTATTTTTTTAAAAATGGCGGCCAAAGTAAAAAAATTTAGGTAAAAATTTTAACGTTTAGAATTGTATAGAGCATCAAAAATAAGATATAATAAATTAAAATTATTTTTTTTAAAAAAATGGTGACGTATAAAAAATTAAGGTAAATTTTAGCGCTTAGAATTGTATATAGTATTAAAAATAAGATATAATAGATCAAAATTATATTATTTTTTCAAAAAATGGCAGCAAAAGTATGATTTTAACTGTTTATTTTGTTATACTAAATCATTTAATACCAAACATGATTATATTTGTTTATTTCATTATATTAATCATCTGATACTCTACATGACTAGAGTTGAGTTTATTTTGTCATACAGAGTAATTTGATACCCTACATGACTATGGTTGAGTTTGTTTTGTCATACCGAGTCATTTGATACCCTACATGACTATGGTTGTTTATTTTGTCATACCGAGTCATTTGATACCCTACATGACTATGGTTGAGTTTATTTTGTCATACCGAGTCATTTTATACCCTACATGACTATAGTTGAGTTTTGTTTGTCATTCCGAGTCATTTGATACCCTACATGACTATGGTTGTTTATTTTGTCATACCGAATCATTTGATACCATACATAACTATAGTTGAGTTTATTTTGTCATTCCGAGTCATTTGATACCCTACATGACTATGGTTGAGTTTATTTTGTCATTCCGAGTCATTTGATACCCTACATGACTATGGTTGAGTTTATTTTGTCATACCGAGTCATTTGATAACCTACATAACATTATTTAAATTATGTATATTTTACCAGTTTTTTATTTTTGTTACTATATAAATTAATACTATATAATTATACCAACTATTTGGTTTCAACATATTTATGATATTCAAGTTTTTTTTCTAATAATGCTTTCTAGCATTCTTAACTGGTTTTATTATACATTAACACTGTTTATAATTACAATTTGTATCACCAATAATATGATATTATTGAACCGCATAATTAGCTAAATAATAGTGTAATAGTAGTAATGGTAATAATAATAATATAATTTGAAAACATTTATCAATCATAGCATAAATGTCTATATATATATAATGTATAAGTAATTATTATATTCAATGTTTAATAAAATAAAATAAAAAATATTTTATTTTCATATTTCAAAAAAATCGTAAATGTTTTTTAACTTATCTGTAACATAATATAAATTTTATTTTTTGAAAAAAAAGTATAATAAAGACATTATAATACATTTTTTTTACTTAAAAATTTATATAATTATTTTTTTCTAATGTATTATTTTATTAGTTTCAAACAAATAGTAAAATAATAAGTACCCCCTAAAAAAATAATAACAAAATATACTATACTATAAAATAATAGCATTTATGGCAAAAATTACTAAACAAACAGACATAACATTTTTTTTAAATAAAAAAAACTATAAAATTTAAATATTATTTTTTCATATTGTTTTTATTTTTAGTAGTAAACATATTAAAAATAATAAATAATAAACAATAAAAAATATATATAATGTATTAAAATTTTGCATATTATTATTATTATTATACACTAACAAAATTAGCATACAATGTGTACAATACTTAAAATAAAAATTATGAATTTTTAATCCAAAAAATTTTATTTATAAATTTATAATATATATAACTTATGTATTTACTGTATTTGTTGAAAAAAATAATAATATTATTAACAATAAAAAAATGTTTAACCGATTTTAAAATTGCATAAAAAAGTAACAAAAAATTTTTTAGCATAAATTTCCAATTTAAATATTAATAATAATAATAATGTGATATTTTTTTTACAGTATACTACATATTAAATACACATTACAAGCTATTATTACTGTCTAAAAAATGCTAATATATTTTAAAACAACTACAAAAATAATAATAATAATAATAAAATGATTGAAAAAAAAACATAAACATAATAGTGACTGAAAAATATGTTTTTTAAAAATATTAATTTTTATACAATATATTACACACACAAAAAAACTTGTATTATTATTATTATTATTATTAATTTAATTAGTATAACTGATTTTTTTTATTTAATCTTTTAAATAAATGTTTGATTTATTAATTTATTGTTTTTGACAACAGTTTATAATAAGTTTATAACATTTATTATTTTGTTTTATCTATTGATTATATTAAATTAATTTCAAAAAATAAACTACTGAAACGGGTAACCAATAATAAAAAAATAGTTATTATTTTTTTTAACTTGAATTTTATTGAGATATCTAAAATAAAAATTAACTAAACATTTTAAATTTAATTCAAAAAAAACAATATTATTAAATATATTTAACAAATTATTAAAAATTTTAATTAATTAATATTAAATTATTATTATTTTTTTGGAAGTAAACTTATATAATAAAATTTTATTGAAATGATAATTGTTGTAATTATTATAAATTATATTATTAATAATAAAGTTAAATTTAATATAATCATTATTATTATTAAACTAAATTACTATCATTTATTTATTTATATATATTATATATATATTATCAATTTTTATAGCCAAACTTAATCAAGTAATGAGTATAGTTATAAAAATTCAAATATATATATTTGTAAAATACTTATATATATATAAAATAAAATAATTTTATTGCCTAATAAATTAGATAACAAATTTATTTTTTTTAATTTAATATCATTTTATATATTTGACGAATCTATTAAAATATTTTTATTTGCCACTCAAAAAAAAAATAATAATAATAAATAAATTATAAACGTTTTAAACAAAATTATATTCACAAAAAAATATTGACAAAAATAAATAAATATTTTAACTGTAAATACTGTTTTTGATTTTTTGTTGATTAAAAATTATTTGACACAAATATTTATTTATTTTTTAGTCATAGAGATTAAAATATTTTTTAAATAAAATTTAATTTGTTTGAAACCAAATAATAATAATAATAAATAAAATGTCGAAATCATTACAATTATTATCGTTGATATCAAAATCATTGATTATAATTCAATTAGCAATTTGTTGTCTACAGTGTATAAGTGCCACAAAAATTATTAGTAGTAATAGTAGTAATAGTGATGATATCGACAAAAATTTTGATGACAAACCAAAATTATTTGTAAATACTGACAATTGTGGCCTAAAAAAGCCGACGGCAGCTATAGATGGCTACATAATAGGCGGCTCTGAGGCCACTGCCGGTCAGTTCCCGTGGCAGGTGTCGCTACAGAAACGACAGTCGGGTCTATGGCTACATACATGCGGTGCAGTCGTATTGAACAAGAGATGGCTATTGACGGCCGCCCACTGTATTAATGGGTATTTTTGTTTAAAACATTTATTTATTTTTTGTTGACTAAAAAAAATAATACAATTTCCTACAAAAATTTTTTGTGTAGTATTCAGTAGTATAACAAATATACTATTGAATACTACACAAAAAATTTTGTAGGAAATTGTATGTATTTTTTTGTGAAATATAAATATAATATAACAACAAAAAAAATCATTTAATTTTATTAGGATTATTACGATTACATAATTGTTTAACTAATAAATTCATAGAAAATTTCAAACAAACAAAACCACAATTTTTTTTTTAATAGAAACTTGAAATTATTTTTCAATTATTATTTGTTTGTTTGTTTTGATTAGTCTCAGTGAACAGTCGTTACGGGCACTGGTAGGCACCCATCTACTCAATGTAAAGCCGCCGGGTACGACTGGCCAGGCAGCTGTTTACCGAATATCCAAAATAATCAAACACCAGGATTTCAGTGCCGATAATATGGCCAACAATCTGGCACTCATACGTTTGACCGCTGCGATCAATTTGGACAACTCTGATGGCCTAATCAATAGTGTTTGTTTGCCTAATACGGGCGACAAGTTTACACAATATGTTACACTATCAGGGTATAGTGATTAATTAATCCCTACCCTACCACCCCCCACCCCCCCATTAACTATACACCCAATCTACTTAACCATATAAGCTAAATATTACTGTAATATACTGGTATATGACTAACATATAAAACATAGTTTACTGTACAGTATTAGGATTTTCCTATTAAAAACAATTAAAAAAATTTTTTTAGTGTTTATAGTGTTTGCGTTAAGTCATTGATGAGATATTATGTATGTATAGTCTCCAGGTGTTTGTCATTATTTGGTGATAGATTTAATGATAAAATAAAATAAATACTAATAATAATAGTTATCTAAAAAATTATTATTATTATCTAAAATTATTCTAATTAAACTAAATTATTTGTTGTTTCAATTATTTAGCTAGCTAAATTAAGTTATATTTGATTTTGTTAAGTAATCAAATTTTTATCAATCAATGACACTGAAAAAATCAAAGTAATTTTTTTTATAAAATAAACCAAAACAACAATATATATATATATTTTAGTCTAACCGTTAACTCGTTATTTATAATATTATTTAATAAAAAAAGACAATTGAAATTACATAACAACAACAAAATATTTTTTTATTTAATATACTATACATATTAAATAAATAGCAATGAAACACAAACACACACATACACATAGACACACTTACATACATACATACACACACATACACATAGACACACTTACATACATACATACACACACACATAAACACACATACATATATACATACACACACTAGTGTTTATTTGATTGTAGTTTTTTTTAAATTTATTTTATTATGTTTTATACCAGTAATAACAGCCACAAGTGATGACACACACATACACACAAAACAGTTGTCTATTTGTTTTACACTAAATGATGTTTGTTTGTTATTTTAGATGGGGATTGACAACAGTTTCAGGATCAGGAGGTCAGCAACAACAACAACAACAGCCGGTTACCTCCAATAAGCTAATGTTTGTCAGTGATGTGCCAATTGTTTCATTACCCAAATGCCGATCCATTTATGGCATGAATTGGATCCGAGAGGGTATGCTATGTGCCGGCGCTCCTAAAGGACAGCAGTCACCTAAGGGTTTCTGTCAGGTACAGGTGCTTATATGTATTATCAGTTAATATACTGTATATATATATATATATATATATATTGACGACAAACCACTGGTGATAATATTGTATGCATGTGTGTATGCATGTGTGTGTGTATGTATGTGTGTGTGTATGTATGTATGTATGTATGTATGTATGTATGTATGTATGTATGTATGTATGTATGTATGTATGTATGTATGTATGTATGTATGTATGTGTGTGTGTGTGTGTGTGTGTGTGTGTGTGTGTGTGTGTGTGTGTGTGTGTGTGTGTGTTGTGTTTGATTTAAAAACAGATATGATTAAAACAATAATATAATTTTTACTATTATTACTAATAATAGATAAATAAATAAGTCGTTAATGATTAGTGAAATAATTAGCACACATTATAATTATAATATAACAGAGACTAACATATCCTATTAATAAGGAAAAAATAATAATTATTACAGTATTATACTAATACTAAATGCACGTAAAATGTGATATAATGGTTATATAAAAAAAATTTTTACTACAAAACACACTCACACTTTATGCATTAATTAACAATAAAAAATTTTACTTTAAAAAACCAATTTATATATACTTTTATATATATACACAGTGTATATATATATTTAGGTTTGTTTGTTAACTGTTTGTTATATATATATATATATATATATATATATATATATATATATTATATCATACTATATAGGGTGATAACGGCGGTCCATTAATTCAAACTGATCCAAATGGACGGGCAATTTTGGTGGGCATATCATCATTTAACGCCCGGTGCGCATCACCTGACGGCACACCAGATGTTTTCGTGGAAATTTCAAACTATAGACAATGGATTGATAAAAATGCCGTTTAAAATACCAAAAAAAAACAACATTTTATATATTTATATATATATATATAAATTATATATAAAAAAAAGTTTATTATAACAGTAAACTACATATAAAATGTTTTATTTTTTTAAAGTATACACAATTAAACTATTAATAACAATAATATTGTGTATAAACTGATTATCTGATAATCTGATAATTTTAATTTATTTTTAAAAAATTGTTTTACATTTTTTTTTTAAATAAAACTATTTATCAAAATTGATTTTTACTAATTATACACATTATTACTTGTGTTTTAGACTAATTTCTATATATTTAAATAATAATTAAATAATAAACATTATTAATCATTTAAATAATATATAAATATTAAACAGTTTGAATTTAAAACATTTAAAAAATATATATTTTTGTTGGCTATACTTTATATATTGATACTGATATTTATATATATAAGATATAAATTATATAATTTATTATCAATATATACTCTATAATAATATATTCATAAAATTTATTTTTTATTTTTTGTCTATTACTTAGTGACAAAAAAAATATGATTTGACATTTATATATATACACACATATTATTATACACCCATTACTACAGTACAGTAATATACATATATATATATATAAAGTATTTGACAAAAATAGCATTTATTATCATATGTCATATGTCTATATTATCATAGACATGAGACTTAAGTATCTGAATATAACTATTTAAAAAAAACAAAACAAAATATATATATAAATAAATATCAATATATGTATTAAATACTTAGATATTTATGAATATATATATAAATATATAAAAATATGAATTATAATTATTTAAGTATATAAATTAATTTTTATGTAGCAATGTAAACATTATATATATATATAAATCAATTTAGCAAATATATGGCATATAATTGTTTTTTTTTTAATATAAAGTTTATCATTTTTATCGCTAAGTGTATATATGTAATATATATATAATGTTAATATACCTAATTTATCAATTAAATATTAATTTTATTAATATATATATATATAATATTTAGCAATCAAATTACAAAACTGTTTACTTAGGTGGCTGTATATGAGTGTCAATGTGTGTGTGTGTAATGGACAGCACAGGGAGCTAATGACATGTTTATAACAACTTATCATTTGGAAAATAAAAGCCATTTATAAGCATATTTTGATTGTCTGTCCACTTATTTTATTATTATTATTATTATTACAATAATCAATATATAAACGTCGGTTTTCCGGCTTTTAGGCGATAATTCATTAAATACTCATATATTTTGTTGTTTTATGTTTGTCTTGAATAAAGATATGTCTATTCAATACTATACAGTATATACACATACATACACATACATATACACACATAAATACATACACATACATACATACATACACACACATACATACATACACATACATACATACATACATACATACAAACACACACACACACACACTTGTGGGCAACAATCTTATAATAAAATCGTAACTACAATATGTTATATAATAAAAATTTATATCCATATATAATATTATTATTATTATAATATCATTTTTTAAGTCAATTCTCCGATGGCTATGACTATGACTTAAGTGTTTGCGTAATAATAAAGTACTGTATTTTTGTTTTTTATATATATATATGTGCGACAATCAAAGTCCTGGTCTAATGTTGTGTTAGTTTTTTTGGTTGGTTTTATTATTGATATTATATATATTTTTTTGTCTATTAAGTTATATGTGCTTTTAGTATGATATTTGTGTCGTTAATAAATAAATAAATACATAAATCTATTTCTAATTTTATTTATATATTTTTTTTGTATGTATAGATTTTTCTTAGTCAATCAATCAATTAAATATAAATGTATTGTATATATATATATATATATATATATATATTCAATATAGATATATAATGCCATATCACACACACACACACACACACACACACATATATATATATATATAATCAATTTATTAATATAATAGTAAATCTATATTTTGTTACAATTTATTATTATTATTATTTAAAAAAATATATATCAAATAGTTTATAAATAATTTTTATTCAAAAAATAATTTAAAAAAAAAATAAAATCCTAAAATTAATCAATATATTTTTTTTGGGTACTGTTTTTGTTTTATTATTTTGAATAATTAAGTAAATTTTTTTGTTGTTTTTAATTTATCAAATTACTATACTATATAAGTAATACACACACACACTTAACAAATTAATATGTAAATTAAATTTTTTTTGTTTTATTTATTTTTTTTTAAAAAATCTATTTATAAATTTTAATAATATATTCTAAATTAAAAAAATAATAATAATACTATTACTTATAAAAAAATGTTAATTAAAATAATGTTTAAAATATTGATTATTTTAATTATATATATATAGGTATTGAATAGTTACAGTATATACTTTTATAATTTTAAATAAATTATATTCAATTGGCTTCAATAAAGTTATTAAAAAAAATTTTTTTTATAAATATATTAAATTTATTAGCAAAAAACGATACATAAGTTATGTTAACTATAACTTATGTTATATAATATTTTTATATATATTATATTAAGGAGTCATTAATATAGACGAGAATATTATATTAATTGTCAAAAACAGCTTAAATAAACAAAACATTTTTAATGTATAAATATAGACATATTATTAATATAAATATATTTATTTATTTATTAAATCTAGTAATTCATATGAAATGTTTATCAGTCATATATTATATATATATAAATTATCCATAAGTATGCGATAATTATACTCTAATATAATAGTAAACAGTTTTTATTTATTGCTGAATTGCCAGATAAACAATTTATTTATATATATATATATATATAATATATTAATTTGGATAACATATTATGCAAACACACTGTTTTAGACACTGTTTTTTTGTTGGTATAAAATACTAGACTTTATTAGTGTTTCAAATAAATTTGTTTACCAAAATAGTTTATACTGTATATGTCGATAATAATAATACTAAATAATATGCTAATAATACATTTAATTGATTAAAATTTAATTTAAAGTAAACTTAATTTTTAGGATATATATTAATATATAATAAAAAACTATACAATAGCTTAAATGATTTATGATTTTTTATTATAATAATAATAATGTTTTAATTTGCTTATTGTTAATAACAATTGTTTATTATTTAAATCTATTAATTATGTTTTTTTAAAAAAAATTAAATATTATAACAATATAATAATTACATTTATATTATTATTGTTATTATTATATTAGACAGTCGAGACAAAAACACATAAAACAGTTACTAAAATATTACCAAAAAATAAAAATTAAATTATATATAATCATATATATCATACATTTTTAATGTAGATTTATTGAAAAAAACATAAACAAAACAAACAAAAAATAATATCTAATAATTTTTTTTTGAAAAATCTAATTAAATTTTCAAAACAATTATTATGGGTATACTTTACACACACACACAAACACACACCTACATACACACATACACACACATACATACACACATACACACACATACACACACATACACACACACACATACACACACACACACATACACACACACATACACACACACATACACACACACATACACACACACATACACACACACATACACACACACATACACACACACAAACATACACACACACATACACACACATACACACACATACACACACACATACACACACATACACACACATACACACACATACACACACATACACACACATACACACACACATACACACACATACACACACATACACACACATACACACACATACACACACATACACACACATACACACACATACACACACATACACACACACACTAAACAACACATAACTCACTGTAAAGTCTTAAATATATTATATTTTATTACACTCCTGACCTATACCTGAAAATTATAATCTCTATTAAAAAAATAGTTAATGTGTTTTATCTAAAATGAAAAAATAATACAATATCTTCTTCAATGTATTATTATTAGTAGTATTATTGGTATTATGATACGATTTTGTGTGTGTGTGTGTGTCTAATGTTTGAAAATTAGTTCATTTAATAATTTATTATTATTTTTTTTGAAAGAAAAAAATAACATTATATATTAAATGCTGAAATGTTTTAGTGAGTGAGTAAAATATTTTGTTTTTAAAATATAAAAATCAAAATTTATTTTTATACGGATTATCATTAATGATAACAAATGACTAAATTATATATATATTTAAGTGACTGACTGATAGAGAGAGAGAGAGAGAGAGAGAGAGAAAGAGAGAGAGAGATTTATTTTTAATTTAAAATTTAATTTGTATTATTAGTATTTATTAGTACATATTATATTCAATACACTGTTATAAACTTTTGTAAGTAAAACAATAATAACAAAAATTATATGAAAACAATATTAATTAAATTTATATATTTTACTAAATAATAAATTTTAATATACCATAAATATATATATATATATATATATATATATATATATATATATTTTATCATATTAAAGTTTTTTGATGATTGAAATTTATAACAATAAATTTTGTTTATTATTATATTATATAACACCAACAAATATTTTTTTTTAAATTTTAAATTTATTTATTTTTCTACTAATTTAATTATGATATGATTTTCGCAATATTTTTTTTTGTTTAACCAAAATTATAAATTTATAAATAATTAAATATTTATTTTTTTAATAAAAATACTACAAACTATATATATATATATATATATATATATATATAAACTTTTCAATTAAAACTTATTACTAAAAACTTAATAACACATAATATATGTTAAAACATTTTAAAAAATTTATTTACTAATTGAATTGAATTGAATTTTAAAAATACTATTTTCTTAATTTATGATTACAAAAATAGCAAAAATTTTATTTAATTATTAATAACACATGTGTTATAAATATAT